GACGCTCGATTGGCAAGAGCCATATTCGTCCTGTGCAACTGAACTGAACTGAACTGATTTTTTCCGCGCGCTCCTCAAGTGTTCGAGACTTTTGAAGGTCGTTTACATGTTCACGTTAACCGCAAGATGGTTTTCGAGTCTTTGATCGTGGACTTGATAAACAGATATCTGGGGTCTTATATTGAAACACTGAATGCATCTCAGTTAAAAATTGGGCTTCTTGGTGGAAATGCTAAACTGGAAAATCTGGATATTAAAGCTAATGCTTTCGATGACCTGAATTTACCTGTAAAGGTTTTACAGGGTCACATAGGTCTGCTCATTTATTCTTATTGACAACCCCGTAGGTTCTTTGACATTGAAAATTCCGTTTAAGAACCTGTATACGGAGCCAACAATAGCAGAACTCGACGGTTTATACGTCCTTGTGGTTCCGAATGCTGGTAAAATTTTATATAACGGTTAAACAAAATTCCTCCATAAGCCGTAAAGTACGATGAGATCAAAGAAAAAGAATACGCTAGGGAGGCGAAGAAGAAAGAACTACGAGCCATCGAAGAAGCGCGTGCAATGCAAAATAAAATAGGTACGTACAACTTATGCGTTCCTTACCGTGATTTAACCCTAGGGAAGAAAGAAGATCCAAAAAGCGATTCTTTCGGTGAAAAGTTGGCAGCGCAAATAGTGAAAAATCTTCAAATCGACATAAGAAACGTCCATATACGTTATGAAGACAACTGCAGTATACCCGGACAAATTTTCTCCCTTGGCATCACCCTCAGTGGACTCATGTTCCAGGTATAACATCATGCAGATTTAATCTAGTTCTTAGACTTGCGACCCCGAGAAGCGGCCTGTGTTGCTTCGAGATGAATCGATCAGAGAGTTTTACAAGGTATTTTGTTTGTTTACTGACTATTTTGCAGTACATAAACCTAACAAGTCTTGGCGTTTATTGGAATCATGACTCGGCTATGTTCAGCGACAAGGCCAGAGGTCCATTAAGAGTAGGAATAAAGACGCATATTATATTCCGCCTAGGTAGCAATGCGTACAACAATAGCAAGTCCGGAAAATCCAAAAACTGGTTTCAGTTATTGTGAGTTCCTGTACCATTCATAAAGTTTATCCACTTGCAGTATTGTGCCCAATTTCTTCTACGGCCATGCTCCATGTCCACACGCGTCCTGAAGAAACAGACTTCACAGTTCCGCAACTGGATCTATCAGTTGATTTTTCTGAAATCGACCTGAATTTCAGTCTTCATCAGTATCATGATGTTACGTGCTTTTTGGACGCCACCGATCGAATTATTACACAAAATAAGTACCGAAAATATCGACCCGAATCGCCTCTTCGTGGCAATTCTCCTATGTGGTAAGCTCCTTACCTGTCGATCATTATTTTTCCTTTTAGTTTTTATCTTCATGAGACTACTTTTTAAAGTCAGTGTTTAATGCACCACTATACTTTTTGCGTATATTATCGACCAGTCTATTAACCTGAATCATATTAGGCAGTTATTCGCAGCTTGGTATGCCTAATTAGTTACATGAGTGAGTACTACGCTCTTGGTTGATGGTGATCTAGTGGTTGAACTCCTTGACGCTGTCGTGCCTTGGGCTGTAAGTTTCGAGGCGCGAACCCTGCTACCACCACGTTGGCGGTAGACAGCCTTGCTTTCATCTGGCTCAACGCAGAGCTTATTCTACTATCTCTCTATGCGTCGTCACTCTTGCCCCCAGGGCTTAGGTTTCCCTAGTAAAGACTTGTTTCGCGTAACTGGGGTTTAGTTTCGTTCTTCGTTCCATAATCGTGTGTAACAAATAATGTCAGAAGTTGGCTTAGTGGTAGAAATGATTGTGCTAATATAGTGTGTGAGCCATCATTTTATGAAGTTGATCCTATCGGGAATAGGGTATTATAATACTTGAAACTTACTTATCAAAACCAGTGCAGTACGTTGGACCCCGATATTTCTCCCTCATCGTCGAACACGAGGCCCTGTTATCCTAAGTCTCAGCCTATATACTGCAATTGAATCTTAATATTTATTGTTTGAACGTTTAGACGTACATTTCACCCACCAAAAGTAATTTTGCCATATATTGGAAACCGGTAACCCAAGCTCCAGGATTGGTGAACTGCATAAGTCCCCGCTAAGCTAGGTATGGTATTGAACCGGACAACAATAAAGCTGACTATGTTCAAAGTTGGGTGGCGGTAGCTGACCTCCAAAGCATGGCGGGGACAGCGACCAACCCACTGCGCAACCACCACCCGATCTAATCCGGTGGTTTAACAACTAAAATTGACTTGGGCAGTTTGAACTTTGATTTGCCTCACCAGACCACAAAAAAACTAGATTGTGAAATCCGAACTTTCTTTGCAGTTTTCTGAATACAAGACGCATCCAGCCTAAGCGTTGACTGCGCCAAAAACTCGATGGATTTCCTTCCGGCTGCGTTCTAGGTGCGCTTTTTCCTTCGGCCTAGTGTTAGCCACTCATCCACTTTTTGTTTGAGTTTTTTCCTGTTGAGAGCCATCACACTATCTATCTGTCTTTCCTGTCAGTAGTATCTTTGATAAGGTTCTACTATATTATCTCACTGACACAAAAAACCACCTTAATTCTTTCCAATAGGTTGCCTACGGATAAAAAAACAAAAAGTGAAACCAAAAGATAACCATTGTGGAGATTAAACTTAGCCAAGTATCTTGAATGATCATATTTTTGCCATTCTGTGAATTCTGGAATGAACATTCCTTGCGTAGATCAACGGTTTCTACTTTTAATCTAAGAACGATATCTGACTCAGTCCACTGCTTTCTACTCTGGCGCTGCCTCTCTTTAAAGGGTGTAGCGAAGTAGTTCATTTCAGCATTATTCTCCCTTCGTACTAATAACCGAAACCCGATTCGAGCCTACAGCTCCTTTTTGTCCGAGTTCACCATGGAGTGCAGTGTTCATCCTCGATACCCTTTGGTTAAGCAGAGCTGAATGCTACCAGGCGCATCCTAGGGTTGTAGATAGGGGGACACTTTCACTAAAGAAGGTTAGCTGTGAATATGTTGTGGCATACCGCAACAAATAAGCAGTCGCGAACAAACATCGGCGACACTACCAGGGTGTGGTGGATTTCAGGCTGGTCACCTGACTCATGCTTAAAAACCGCATAAGCCCAATGACGTTGTCGTGACAAAGGTCGATGTGATTGGCCTTTTAAAACTCAATTCTTCGATCCCCTCACTTCCGAGGCCAGGGATTACGTCCTGCTGCCTTGTAGTTCGCACTTGGTTGTACAAAGACTAGAGATGCGTCCTCAGAATAAAAAACACCGATTGACGCTGGGGACGTCCCTCGTACCAAACTACCAAATAGCTTCATGATCATGATCATGTCTGGAGCCGGCTTATCCTTTCCAACGAGCCAGCCGCAGTAAGTATGGAATGCACTTTTCATCGGATTCTTCCCTCACCTTTTCTATCCTTCTTTGGAGTGGATATGCTTGTTGAAACAGCTGTATCATCCTGAGGATAGAGGCATTTCTGTCCTCCTAGTTGGTGTAAGGTAAGTTGATTTAAGATACGCAGGTGACATTTGAGGTCCTGGATTCGGACCTGTTCGGTCCTACTTTCAACCATCTTGTTTTCCTCCTATTGTTCCCCCAAATAGGCAGCTAAAAGACAGCAACTAAAAGCGTCTCACCAAAATGCATGCCTGATGGTTGTCTAAACTAAACTGAACTGAAGTGATTCGAACCTCAGTTAGGTCGATGGCTTTGCATTGCTGATGAGACTCAGTCGCGAAATTCATCTAATGCATCGTAGTTGTTCAGTTCACATTTCATTTACTCTTTGGGTGAGTAAAATCATCATACGAGCTAATACTTTTGTAAACTGACACATGTAATGAAATTTAGTAGGTGGATGAACATCTTTGATTACGGTACACACCTACGTTACCCAGTGTCTAACCGTCGACTCAATCGATCGCTGAATACCGAAATGATAGTCCGAAGTAAATCTGCCAAAAGTTTGAGCCTCGAAAACTCGATCAAGTGATTCAGTTGGCGCACTGTAAATCTACGGTTTTGAGTTCGGTAAAAACTATCACGTTTCGTTGTGTGATTGTGTAGGTTTCGGTTAAGTAATAAATATAGTGCAATTATTAACAGGCTTGAAAAT